CAGAGTCGAGGGTGACCTGGGACGTTAGCAGGGGCCCTGACGCCAGCAAGAGCGAGCAACCTGGCCCCAGCCCGCTCCACCCCGCTGGCTCCTGAAGTCGCTCTGGGGAGGGGGCGGAAGCCAGAAAGGGGCGGGGGCTTGGGGGAAGGGGTGGAATGGGAGTGGAGCAGGGTGGGCTGGGGCCAGGTTGCTTTCTGCTGCTGGCACCAGGCCCCCCACTAACTTCCCAGGCCGCCCTGGACCCCACGTCCCCTGAAGTGCTGGGCCCAGCGTAGTTTCCCTGGTCCATCCTATGGACGGGACGGCTCTGAAAATATAAGCCCAAACATTGGTGGAGCACGGGCACCACGGGCCCATATAACTCACTGCCTATACCATTGAGGAAATGAGACCACTAACTTCAGTAAAATCATGCATGCACTTAAGTCTGCAAGTTCAGGGCCTTTGTCTGAACTCCGGCAACTCTTGTTATCAGCATAGAGCAGGTACTGAAATTTTCCCTTTGGCTCCCTATTGTGAAATGTAGTCCACCAGTGGAGAGGGCCCTGCACTGTAAACCAGGCCTTGTCTTCACTACCATGCTACATCGGCGCAGCTGCAGTGCGTCTGGTGAAGACCCACTATGTCGACAGGAGAGTGCTCTCCCGTCAACATAATTGCTCCACCTCAAATACTTTTACATTTGTAAGTTGCACTTTCATGGTAGAGATTGCACTACAGTATTTGTATGAAGTGAATTGAAAATATGCAAATATTTGTAATAACAAATAATACACTGAGCACTGTACACTTTGTATTCTGTGTAACTGAAATAAATATATTTGAAAATGTTGAAAAACATCCAAAAGTATTTATAATAAATGACATTCTATTACCGTGCAATTAAAACTGTGATTAATTGTGATTATTTTTTTAATAGTTTGATAGCCTGGAGGTAAGTATTATTAAATATACATAAAGGGTTTAAAAAATAGCCGTGTGGAAAGCTCTGTACGTACAAAGTTTTTAAATATGCCTCCAGGTTAATGGTTTAACTGGCACAGAGCCCAATATTTATGTACAAGTCTGTTTCCTGGAGCTCCTACTGTATCAGTCTTACTGGTCTGTTGTTGCACATACGAAGACTGCATCTCTAGTTGTCTGAGACACTATGCTCCATTTTATACACTCTCCATAACATCCTGTGCAGTTCAGCCTGAACTGAAAGAAAAACATTTCCCTTCAGCAAATCTATCTGCAAACTAGACTTCGATGTAGTGACGCTGACTTGCACTGGCTTTTGGCTCTAGTATAGTCTAAAGTCTAAACCCTAGGAGGTAAAAGAGCTGCTCCCTCTTGCAAACTGTGAATGTGACTGACGAGCATAGCTGAAAATGGTTACAATTAAGAGAGGTGGGAACTCCTGCTATGCACGCTACTCTTAAAGGCATATACACTCAAATGTATTTTCAGTTGAACATTGAAAGAAGTTATACAGGCATGAAAAGTACATTTGGGTTGGTAATTCCACGGAGCACATTATCTTAATGGAGTGTTAAGGTTGTACTGTTAACGCAACAGTCAGAAAATGGAACAGTTAGGGGTATATGTACAACTTTAATTCTGCCCATTTGCTTGTATTACAATAGTTAACTGCACAGTCACATACAATTTCTCACATCATACAGTTCAATATACAGTTTATATGCCATGTGTAACATTTTGTAATATTTTTGTTTCTTGTCTACTTGCACACGTTACCTACCATGGTAATCCAGCATATCTTCACAGACTTAAATCTTCACAATAAGTTCTCTTCTCTTCAAGGGGTATATTTTAACAACTCTTGGTCAGCACTCATGCACTTTGCATTTTCTTTCAACCCGCAGCAGAGCCAGCCTGAGATACAATTCAGGGAAGGAAAGTAGTTAACTATGAAATTAAATTAACTTGCATGTACATTGGGCCTGATCCTACACAAAAATGACGTTACTGGGAGTTTTGCCACTGACTTGAATGGGAGAGGAATGCGAGCCATGCAGTACAGCCTTTCTTAGGGGGATGTTGTGACGTTATCTGATTAAAATATTACCCTGTAAATCATTGTTGCTACCACTGCTATATAATTGCAACAAATCTTGTACAAAAGATTTGTCAAGTAAGGTGTCTATGGAAAGGTTATGATTTGCTGAATATACTTATGCTATCTGTATGCATGAATCATTTTTGTATTTGAAGTTTTGAGTAATGGCTCTATATTGGATTTCAAGTGTTTGCTTCTCAGGCAACGCCCACCCGGTATTTAGCCTGCACATCTTGGAGGGACTATTCAAATGAACGGTTTCAGAGTAGCAGCCGTGTTAGTCTGTATCCACAAAAAGAAGAACAGGAGTACTTGTGGCACTTTAGAGACTAACAAATTTATTAGAGCATAAGCTTTCGTGGACTACAGCCCACTTCTTCGGATCCGATGAAGTGGGCT